CCAGACCAAAATGTATTGTGTGTGGTTTGATTTTATCAAATGAAGCTATGGTTCCCAGTAAATTATTGCGACACTTCTCCACAAAATACGATCACTTGTCTAAAAACCTCTTGAATATTTCAAAGATCTGATAAAATTACAAGAAAAACAAAGTAAAAGTTTTGTAAAAAAATATACAATTGCTGACCGTGTTCAAGAAGCCAGTTATTTAGTCGCAGAAATAATCGCGAGAGAAATGAAGCCTCATACTATTGGCGAAACTTTGATTCGCCCGGCCTGTACAGCAATTGTGAGAACAATTTTTGGTGCTGAAGCAGAAGAAGAAATAAAAAAGACTCCTTTGTCAAATGACACTACGAGTATACGTATTAGTGATCTATCAGTTAATATTGAAAAATCAGTTATAAATAAAATAATCGAATCGAAATTATTTAGTTTGCAGTTGGATGAGTCAACTGATATCGGTAGTAAAGCACATTTACTTGCCTTCAATCGATTTATTGAAGATGATGAAATTTTGGAAGAATTTTTATGCTGCAAGGAATTCGAAAAAACTACGATGGGAAAAAATGTTTTTTATATCATGAACACATATTTTAATACAAATGGTCTATCTTGGAAATCTTGCGTGGGTGTATGCACAGATGACGCCCCTTTAATGATTGGAACAATAAAAGGACTTGTTTCATACCCTAAAAGAGAAACGAAAACATTGTAACAACTTACTGCTTCATTCATCGTGAATCATTGGTAGCAAAGACAATAAGCTCTGAACGCAAAAGAGTGTTAGAAAAAATCATTAAAATGGTTAATTATATCAAAGCTAAACCACTAAAATCGCGTATATTTGCAAAACTATGTGAGGAGATTCAATCTCATCATAATAACCCGCTTCTTCATACCGAAATGAGATGGCTTTCGAAAGGTCGCGTATTAAATCGTGTTTTTGAGCTTAAAGAAGAAATATTAATATGTAAATTTTCGTCCGATGGAGATTATTTTTAAATAAATAAAATTGAAGACGGTCTGCCCAAAAGGGACTGCCATTTATTATTCCTGTGTTCCAGACAATACACGTTCTTGGCAACAGACCTTTCCTTGTAGGTTACTTGTTGCCAGAAGTTTAAAAAGACCTTCAATTTTATTTATTTAAGAAATATTAATATTTTTTCAACATGAAAACAAACCACAATTTTGTGTATTATTACAAAATGATTCTTGGTGTTCCAAACTAGCTTATTTAACAGACATATTTGATCACCCGAACAAGTTAAACTGAAGCATGAAAGGTAGAAATGAAAATATTTTAATATCTGTAGATAAAATTAAAGCTTTTATCTTTCACATTTTTATTTTATCTTTAAAAGTAAACTCAAATAATGTAGAAATGTTTATTCAAGTTGCCAAAGCAAAATGTAACAATACAAATTTGCAAAAACTTATTTACAATCATTTAATGTCGTTAGAAGAAAAAATTAACCATTATTTTTCCGACATATAAGTTGATTTATACGACTGGATTCGAAATCCTTTTGTAGAGACAGCATCAGGAATAAGTAAGTTCAATCTTGCAGAAGCCGAAGAATTAATTGATATACGTCACGATCGTACGTTAAGAGAGAAGCATTCAGAAATGAGTCCGAATTCATTTTGGATAACAATTGTGAAGGAATATCCCAATATAGGATTCAAAGCACTTATTATTTTATTGCAGTTTTCCATATCGTATCTCTGTGAACTGGGATTCTCTACACTCGTAAATATTAAAACAAAGAAGAGAGAAAGACTAAAGGCCCTTGAAAATGAGATGAGGGTATGTCTTTCAAAAATACGACATAATATAATGAAATATGCAAACACCATCAAGCGCATACTTTACATTAAGTTCACATTGTATCACCAGATACCTTTATAATAATAACTTTTATTTTGAATGTTTTTGTGTTGTTTGGAAATAAACTTACTTACTTTAAAAAACTTTTATTTTTTCAGACTTCTCATCCNTGTGGCGGACAGACGTAAAGTCGAATAAAATGACTTAAACTTGATTTTTATTTTTCCATATACTTTTTTGACAAACGACGTATAATCGGGAACGACGTAACTCGAAACGACGTAAGTCGAGGTATACCTGTACATATACAATTAAAAGGAATTCTAATTCTAATTTAATGATGTTAATAGAGTTAAATGAAATGAACATGACCGTAACGGCTCCACCCTGATACTCTGGAAGTTCGGGTTCGTGTCCGAATTGACTTAGAAATTTTCATGGATGGGCCGTTATTATTGTGAGTTTGTGGGTATTAATTTAAGAGGGGTTTTCCCATACCCTCTTAGGGCAAGGAGCTTTAAAATAAAATTCCTCTTCTAATATAATTTCGTAACTGTATCTTATAACAATTTGTCATGCTATTAATGATATACGAATATATTGATAATTTAGGAAGAGCAACTGGAGATTAAATCGCACTTAAATTTTATAATATAATTTCAGGCTTGGAGAAAACGATGGGTTGATTTTCAAATATGCCACGATAAAATTCTGCTTCAAGTTTTCATTTCGGAGTCGGCCGTTTCTAAACAAGAACCATCTCTTTACAAAAAGGAATTATCTAATCAAATTATATTTTTTCGAAGTGAATCCAAGAGTCATCCTCACACATTTAGTGTAGCTGAAAGAGAAGAAGTTGTTCTACATTTTTCTGCATCTAGCGAAACAGAAAGCCAATCTTGGATTAAGACATTGAGAGATATGATATGGCCACCCAATCAGATCCTCGAATTAGAAAACAGTATGCTTTTAATTTTAATTAAGTTTTTCTAATTATTTATACATATATAAAGATAAATTTATTTGTAGATTTAGCTGGAGTTCATCAGGTATCCATTATAGATAACGAACTTTGTCAAAGAGCGGGATTACTTGGTGCATATGGTTATCTGAAAATCACAGATACGAAAATTATTCTAATTAATCCTTGTATGGGTCATGTAATTCAAGAATGGTATCTGAATACGCTGTGTCGTTTTCAATTACTTCCTGCAAACCATAAAAATGACAGAGACAAAATATTTTCCTTTGAAACTGGAAGGTAATTTAAATTTTAAACATATTTCAATACAAAATATGCTTTTTCTATCTATTAAGTGAAAACAAATATATTTTGTTAAAATGTTAAAAACTAAGTGAAAGCAAATAATCATAACGATTGTTAATTATATATATGCGTTTTATACAGTACATGTATATATATATATATGTACTGTAGGTAAATTTACGAGACTTAATTGTGCTTTCCACGAGCTAACATCCACCAGAAGAAAACTGGTGCACGTAGCACGAGGAAAACACGGGTTTGCCTCCACTGTTCACGAGTTCAACAAAATTATCCAAGAAATCCACGCGGAAAGCACGAGCTGTTTTGCTTGAAGTTAGCACTTATCAAATCAGACTAATCAACCTTTAAACCATTCATAGGAGAGAAAGAGATGCCAAATATCTTAGGATTGCAATAAACAATTAACTATTTACAACTAATAAAGCTGTCCTTACAACTAATTGAAAAATGGTTTAGTCTGATTTTACAAGTGATAACTTGTGTTGGAAGAACTATGTATTTTTTCTTATTAATATAATTAATTTTGACAAATTTAATTATATATTTTTAGCAACAGTTCCACAGGAAAAGGAACTTTATACTTTTACAGCGAAAATGCCATCAGCATACTGAAATCCATTGGTTGTATTATTCAAAGTATTCTTGAAAAAAAGAAAACAAACGCTCAAACAAAATCAGAAAGAGATCAATACATGAAAGATCTCGAAGAGTTGGATCAATGCATGAATGAATCCAGAAAGGAAGCTGAACAAGAAGCAGAAGAATATTATCAAGTTCCAAGAAGAGAAATCCGCAGTATTTTGGATATTCCAAATTTTACCTTTGACAGACCTTTGAGTAGTAGTAGTTTAGATTTAGAATTATGTAGAAAAGAAAAGAAAAAACTGGAAGTACGTCATTCTTGCCCAGAAATGAATCAGTATCCTAACGTAAGGACTGAAAGAAAAATCACTTTACAAATTCCTGATGAGTCAAATGATATTGATGAATCATTGGAAAAGTGTTATTCCAAGAGAGAGACCCTACATGATCTCACTCGTATTTCTCAATAGAATAAAATACTGAATAAATGTTACCAATATTTAGTCATAGAAATTTTTAAATCAATTTGGAGAATTCCGTTGCTATTTTAGTTTTTCTTTACTTTCCTTTAAACATGAAATTCCCTCATGTAAGCAGCTTGTAAAAAAGTTATAATGTAAAACTTTTCATAAATAAAGACTATTCTTTTAAAAAATCATCACCTTTTCCACCACATAGATTTTGTAGTGTAAGCGGAGGGAGTCCAAGGGGTCCACCCTCCTTACTTTTGTAAATAAATTAAGAAAAATCAAGTAATTAGAGGAACATGACAAACGCACTTATACCACATGCACTTACTGTACATAAATATCTAATGATTTACTCTTCATCCATGGCGCTAGTGGCTACATCCATAACGGTAAGGGAATGAATGTGGGTTTACACATTTTAATTTAGATCCCCTAAATATCGGCATTATTTACACTACTGCATGTATTCATGTAATAATCTGTTTTTTATATTTGTTTACAGTATATTGTTAAATGTTGCATCATCAATTGAGCCTTTGCGTAGGAAAACGTTGTATCGAACAAAATTTGCGAAATTGAGTTTGATACAAAAATATGTTCTTTAACTTAACTAAAGGCTCATCTTTTGGAATCAATCGAAGAAAAAAGTCTGTATTCAAATATTTAAAGTTGAGCGTTCAAATATTTGTTAAATGGAAAAACTTTGTATCTAATTGCAGTGTTGTCGAGTAAAATGACGGTAGAAAACAAAAAAATTAAATTCTGATAAAAATGTGCAGCTAATCTGAAAATTATCTCCGTTATATGGCTGCAAATATCTTTAGATAATTCCACAATGGTCAGTGTGTCAAAAGTCATGATATCATGCGACTTACAAACTCTTTCCTCAGTAAAGAAGAGTTGCACTTGGTGCAGAGTAGTGTCCAGATTTCAAAACCGAACAGATATTTCTTTGTCTCCTCCATACGATGGCCCATTGCTTAAAAGAGCAGCAAAGAAACGAGATCTCATGGATATGACAAGATTTTTAAACGAACATGCTGAACTCTACAGGGTCCGGTAGTCTGAAAAAGAAAGTGACATAGATAGTACTGTAGAAAGTATAGAAAATAAAAGCTACTGTTTGTATTTAAAGTAAAATACTGTATTTTTTAATCTTGAAATAAAATAAATAATACTAAAGTCAGATACAACGTTTTTCCAGTAATGTTCTCATCTCCCAAAAAGCATCGCTGTTATGAAACTTTCAATCCAGAACAATCAAAACGTTTTAGGCAGTTTATCTCAATGCATGCTGATACTTTACCAGCAACTTTACCAGCTTTTTACCAGCAATTTATTCTGGTAAAAATAAAAAAAACATTCATAGAAAAGCAAATTTAATTACTTTTAAATTTTCTCCACGCTGTTCGTGGAACATTGTAGTAAGTAATACTCACAGACATGTTTTCCATGACCGCAAACATTTTTTTAACTCAAAAACGAGTGTTTCTTTCTAAACCATGTTTTTAATGGTAAAATCACTCCGACGTTATCTTTATAATTCAGATTTTGTATAATAATGATGCGTGCTGTGTAAGCGGAAGTTGCCGATATGTTTTTCTCGGCAAGGGCTCAATTATAACAGTAGTAAATTATAAATTTAGTATTAAGTATTAAATTTCAAGATTTCAAGCACCCTTTAAGCTTTAGTCTGCTTTAAGGACAATCCATGGCCCATGATTATAGATTTACAATAGGCGCGTTGTCTGAGAAGCAACTTTAATACAGTTACATAAACAAACCAATGACATAATCCGTTTCATTACAAACGGAGTATCATTCGCTTGTGCATATACTGTAGATATATTAAAGTTGTTTTATAGACAACAAGCACAATTTAATGATCTCAATGGCAAATTTTGAAATAATAGAGCTCTTGTGTTTACTTAGTGACGCATTTCTATTGCCCAATGACAAGTAGCACGATTTTGACTATACAGTATATATTTATGAACAATTTTTCAAAAATTTTTTCTGCCATATGGACACTAAGAGAGTCTTTTAAATCAAGCTCATCGTGGATTCAGCCAGACCCGCAGTGTGCACAGCTGGATGGGGAGGGACCGGACCACGTCCGAAAAATTCCTGAGATTTTTTGGCTCCTCCGGATTTGATCTCGAATCCCTAGAGTGGTAATAGAACTGACACTTTAACCCAGTAGTGCCCAAATTTTTCAATTTGTGGACCAAATTATGCCTAAGTCATATGTAGGCGGGCCACAAACATTTTGTATATTCCATATATATAAAAAATAAACCTATTTTTATCATTTATAAGTCATAGGTGAAATATGTACGCGGGCCGGATTTAGGTACAGTACCACCGTCTTAACCGCTCGGCCATCCAGCTGTCAAAAAATGAGTATTGTGAAGGATATGTTCAGAAATCAATTGCACAATATACAATTTATTAGATGGAATGAAGCAATACAAAACATGAGTAATCTGCTGAGGAGGATGTTTCGACGAAGAACTTTCTATAAGAAACTGTCTTATACTTAGGCGTTAGATACGTGAAGGAAACTCTGAAAACTCCACGTGGCCAACCCATTGATCAAGCGCAAACTTGCGACCAACTACCATGCGAACAGGTAGTTTTTTTATTATTATTTTTTAACTCTTTCCGCCCTGTGGGCACTAAGAGGCTCTCTTATAGCAGGCCCATTATGGGTTCGACCAGGCCCACAATGGGCTGCTGAGTGGTGAGGGACAGGGCCCGACATATCCTAACGGACCACCCCCTGAAAAATTCCTGGGGATTTTACGACCCGTTCGGATTCGAACCCGGATCCCCCAGAACGGTAGGCTGCCACCTTGATCGCTCGGCCATCCGGCCGCTACGAACAGGTAGTGTTATTCGGTCACTGTAGGATCAATTGGACAAGGTAAGATTAGAAAGTCAGGTGTTACTATCTCGCAAAAACCAACATTGTCTTTAGTGAATTTCATTTTTTTTCGATGAAACAGGTTACTTAAGTTAAAGACAAAAAGCTGTGTATTTTTTTTATAATTTATGACCTACAAACTAGAATTGATCCAGATACAAAAAAGTTACTCAATGTTGTTAGTGCTCATGCAACTATCAAGTTATTTCAATAGATTTACGTTGGGATATAAATTATATTTCAACACAAATACAGCAAGACCTCGCTTAACGCGGGGGTTGCGTTCCTAGACAACAAAGAGCTAAACGAAACAGTGTTAAACGAGAACATTTTAACATAAATAAGGATAGGGAAACACGCGACCAAAATTAAACAAATTTTACTTCAATTTTAAGTTATTTTTATATTAATTTGTATATGTTAAATAACACATAAACATATGCACACAGAAATGTAATGCTTATTTTTTGTGACGAAGATCCTGACTTTTCTGAAATTCTTGTTCTTTTGCAATAAAGTCGTGAAGTTACATTTGTCTCTTTTTTCTTTCCTTAAGCAAATGTCGGTAGCAGATCGCATCCAAAACGCCTCGTTCTGCTTTTGCACTCCTTTCAAAATCTGGATCATTCGCTACAATTTGATCGACGATTTCGGTTATCTTACCAAACTTTTACTAAGGAAATCTGTAGAGAAATTTTTTGGGTTCTTCGTTTTCAGAATTCTATTTTCCAGTTCTACATGAATTCCTCGTTCTGTCAGTTCTTGAAGGTCATCGTTGGTAAGGCTCTCACCAGAAACCTGCTGTAACTCCTCAATATCCTGTTCGTCTATCTCCTAGTCCTGCTATATCGATTAACGTACCTGAAGCGTTTCCACCTGTTCGTGTGACAACACCTCTCTACAGGACACCGACCATCTTCTTTGGGACTGCAAACTACATGAACAGCAGAGGATCAGGATAATGGGCCAAGTCCTCAAATCTAACTTCAGCTGGCCATGTCCTCACAGCAGGTTACTGCAGGACCGTGACAACTTCAAGGCAGTGAACACCTTTCTGAAGACGACGGCAGCCCCGACTCCCGTGTCCATCATTAAACAAACAACGATTGCGGTTCCCTCTCAATAAACTTCATTTAATGTGTTTTTCTTTTCTAGATAATAACCGCGCTTTATATGAATTTGTGTCGTTGTTCGCAAACAGCATCAATGTAGGTAATCTTTTGTTGTACCACGAACGCGTAAATCTCGTGTACCGGTTCTGTTTACCTGATGATTTTCAGCGCATTATATATTTTATGTTACTGCAATTAAATTGTATTGATGTTCAAAAACTACTGTTTGTAATATTACCGCATAATTCTTTTGTAACGGTTTCGCTCTGCCTGTTCTTTTCTACGTTTACCACTTTGTGTTACGGTTCAATTATTTTATGTTTTGTCCCTTGCCTGCTCAGGCACAAGCTACAGGCATAGCGCCAAGTAACATTGTTAACGCACGAATCTGTTTGTACTTTTGTTATGTACTCACCATCTCTTTTTGTTGTACTATTTAAACACTGTACATCCATTGTATAACCTTGATTTTGTGATATTATGTAACCATTATAACTGTGATTGTCTATCTTGTTTACTATTATGTAACATGTTTTGTGTCAAAAATAAAGTAACCGGTGCTGCTCACGACCTCCCCTTCCTCTTCTTATTTCTCTTTCGCATCTTCATCCCCTTTGGCTTCTGCCACCAACTTTTCCTCCTGTCTAGAATCTTCTCACTTCGTTTCATCCTCTTAAAGGAAATACCTTTGAGTAAAGCCTTCTAAACCTTCCAATACTAACTGCTATATCGGTTAAATTGAGTTTGGTCAATCTAACGATACAGCGATAGGCTCTTCTCGTTGAGAATTCTTGGATACTTTTAACCATAACTTCTTCCACACTTCGTTCGTGCATTTATCAGTTAATTCTTGCCAAGCGAAGTCGATATTGCCTATGGCATCCGTGATGTTATATATATATATATATATATATATATTTTTTTTTTTCCAAAATTGCACCAAACAAACATAGATTAAAAGAAAGTACACCTTTTTGCCACATTTTGCTGATTGGTTCATGTTCGTAAATAATTGTATTATACAGTATATGAATCAATAAAATGCTGCAATAATTTAAATCAGCTTTAATTTTTTTTTTAAGGCTTTGAGCAGACCACGTTATATTGAATCAACGTTAAGCAAAGCAGCAGCGTTAAGCGTGGTCTTACTGTATATATGTAAGTAAAATAAAATACTTATTAAAATGTTTGACAATGTTTATTACTTAAAGTAGATTAAATTAAATGTCTAGAGAAAGATGATCATGAATGAAAGTGTCCAAAAATAAAAAAAAAATAATTAGCCAGAATGACTAGTATTAGTGATTATTATATAATGATAATTGCAAGTTTTTGAAATCTTGACTTGCTATGTTTTAAGAAAATTTATATATGTAGTACATATACATTCATTAATAAAAACTGTTTTAAATCTTTCAGTTTATACATTAGCTAGTATCTTGTATCCAGTAATGCTTGAATTATTGTAATAAAACATTAAACAGATTTGAAAACTGAAAGTGGTTTGTTAAATGTTGATATGGTGATAGTTTATGATTTTATATTTATATATATATACAGTGGAACCTTAATCTGTTCCTGATGTTTGGACTTATACTGAATAAGACATATACCAAACCAACCTTTCCCATAAGAAGTAATGTAAAAATGATTAATTCGTTCTCAGGTAAAAAAAATGGCTGGCTTGAAACACTTTGCTTTCCTGGCTAGTTCCTGCTTGATTTTTCATGAGATCAGCATGTATCTTAGCTTTCTCGCAAATAATTGCTTCTGATATGATGTTGCCAGCACACTGTCTTTCAGTTATCCAAAGCAAAAGCAATTTCTCAACATGATCTAATGTCTTAGATCTCTGTTTAGAAATTGATTTAACCCATTTCGTAACATTAGCAGATTTAATAATGTCTTCATTTTTCACGATTGTCAATATTGTTGTTCTCGGAATATGGTATGCAACAGTTAAAATCTCGAACACGCAGTGGTGATATTCAGCGGGTTCGCACAGGTTCGGCCGAACCTGTTGTTAACATTTTCAAAGTTTTCTGAACCTTGTTAAACACATGTAACATTTCTCAGTGGTTTTGTTTCTTTTAAAAAATATATTAAAATATATGTATTATACTCTGTAACACTACTGAACTAGAGCCTTATACCTCGTTCGCCTTGGTGTGACCTCCCTCGACCATTTCAATCTCAACTGAAACGAGGTTCACTCGCGATCGACTGGAGAGAGTTCTTGAAACTAGATCCAGCAAAAGAGAAATCCCACACGCGCGAGAAAATACAAGATGGTTGCGGAACACGTGTCGTAATAAAATATGTACAAAATAAACCATTTTGAACACTCTTTTTTAATATTTATAAAAATATATTTTGTGCTAATGTTGCTAATGCACCTATTGAGCGAAAAAAAATTGTTAAGGAAAAATTTTCTGTTAGCGAACCCTTTCTTAAATATTTCGAATATCATCACTGAG